ATGTGACACACTGAAACCATGAAAAAAGTCATCTATGCAAACCTGCAAACCAGCAGCATCAGACTTACGTTTTACATTTACTATTTACATGATCCTGGCTGCTGTCACTGTATTTCTGTTTACAGCAAGTACAGTAAGTGAGCAAAAAAGTGAATAAATAAATGCTGTGACTAAAATGCTGTGCTCATATGGTTGGAGTTCATGAATGTGATGTAGGAGGTGCTTACAGGAAATAAATTCTCGCAGTAAGACAGCTCACATCTTATTTTAAGTGAGTTTTAATCATTTGAAAACATACTGAACACACTGTAAACATGGCTTATAAAAAGTGACATTGTTAGTGGTCGCTCATTGTTTGCGGATTTTAATAAATATGTTCACATTTAGAATTATACTATATTATACTGTAATGATCCATGTCGTTGTTGGAATTATATAATATTGTACATAATGTTTTAAAATTGAATTGTCGTCAATACCTGTAGGCATTATTAGTTAAGTATAAGAGCAAAGTTAAGTTATTTCTCTTCTGTAAATGTGAGGATTGAAAATTCTGATTAGTGAGTGACTGAATATTGAGGTCTAACCCTAATAAGAGTTGAGATAAAGGTATTGGCAGACAGATAGAATGAGACTTCATTTGCAGCTACTTGGATGCAACAGAGGGTGGCGTGGTGATGCAGTGGTTAGCACTGTCTCCACACAGCAAGAAGGTTGTGAGTTCAAACCCCGGTTGCCCCGGCCTTTCTGTTTGGAGTTTACATGTTCTCCCCGTGGCAGTGTGGGTTCTCTCTGGGTGCTCCAGCTTCTTTCCACCGTCCAAAGACATGCAGGCTAGGTTAATTGGTGTTTCTAAAATTATCCTTAGGTGTGGTTGTCTGTCTATGTGTGGCCCTGCGACGGACTGGCGACCTGTCCAATGTCAGCTGGGATTGGCTCCAGCCCCCCGCGACCCTGTGCGCAGGATTACCATTGACGATGGATTGATGGACAAAACATCACTTTCATATACATGAAAAAAATCAGCAGGTGTTTTCCTGTGCATTGCAGCTGTTAGCTTTTTGAGATTTCAGCTCTTAAGTAGTTAATTTGCTTTCTATAAATACTTTAACCTGTTTAAGTAAAAAATTCCAACCAGCTGCAGCAAACTCAAGTATTTAGATTATCTTGCTTTCACCTCACTGCTGTGTTTGCAGCAGCAAAATAAAATAATTAATCTTTCAATTAAAACCAGATCAAGTAATATAATGCCTATTAGGTAGACCACATTACTTCATTATTGTGATTCATTTATTTTTGTAAGTCATATAACATAAAAGAGTAAATGTTTTCTGATGTGATATTGTGTCCAACATGGATCAGTTACAGCTACATTAAAGCCATGAACACAAAATTCAAACGATTCAATAAAATTAAACTCTAACAGAGTTCCTGTACATGAGCCCCTCCCTCCCCGTGATATCCTGATGCAAATCTTCAGTCTGTGCAGTGTACTTCTGTCCTGCTTCCTGCTGTTTTATCTTTTATCAGACAACATCGACTGATGGTCAGTCAGTGATCCCAGAAAACATCCCAGATGACTGTCTCACTTTCTTCTGTGGTTCCTCTCTCGTTTCATCTCATCAGGTTGTACAAGTCAGAGTATGGAGTCCATTCCTTCCAGTTCAGTACTGAAAAAGCCTGGGGAGACTGTCAGTCTCTCCTGCAGAGGATCTGGCTTCAAATATACATGTTGCGGCATGAGCTGGATAAGACAACCTGTAGGAAAAACACTGGGATGGATTGGACGTGTTTGGAGCGATGCAAGCAAAACACACTATGTCAGCAGTGTGCAAGGACGAATAGAAGTCACCAGAGATAATAGTAAGGTGAATCTGAGACTGTCCAACTTAAAGCCAGAGGACTCTGCTGTGTATTATTGCGCCAAACACACACTGGTTAAAGGAAGCAGAGAGGCTTTACAAAAACTCCTCAGGACATTTGTTTACAAAGACCTACAGGTGGCAGTAGAAGATATGAAGTCAGATGAGAGTAAGGAGAGTTTGACAGTGACTTAACACATGCATTCTATGAAAGCAACAGCTGATAAAAATAAATTAGTCTTTCAGCTGTTGCTTTTATCTAAAGCTACATACATACATAATCCCCCCCAAGTGTCTTGCTCCGGGACACCTGGGAGAAAATGTCTCAGCTGGAATTGAACACCGGTCTCCCACACCAAAGGCATGCATCTTAATATAATATAAGAGAATGATGTAAAACATTGTTTTCCAGATATGTGTGAGATGTGGTGTGCTCTGTGAGGCGGAGTCAATGCAAAACTCTGATCTCTTCCATCACTACATATGTGCTGCAGGGTGAATGACTGAATTACTGACATTTACACTGTAGACTGGACCGGATTTTAAAATGATCAGACCTGATTATTTGGTTGTTTTCCTCATCATGTCTATTAACTGGGCAGGTAAGAACAATGGAACTCTTTACTGGAAAGATGCTGATAATACGTGACTATATTAACTAATGAGCTGTTTAAACATCTGCAGGTACTGAGGCTCAAACACTGACAGAATCTGAACCAGTAGTTAAAAGGCCTGAAGAATCCCACAGACTGACCTGTACATATTCAGGTTTTGATAAGCATTATAACAACGCTTGGATCAGACAGGCTGCTGGAAAGGGACTCGAATGGATCGCTTATATCAGCGGTGGCAGTAGCTACATCTACTACTCTCAGTCAGTTCAAGGCCGGTTTACCATCTCCAGAGACAACAGCAAAGAGCAGCTGTATCTGCAGATGAACAGTCTGAAGACTGAAGATTCTGCTGTTTATTATTGTGCTCGAGACTCACAGTGACTGGAGTTGGATGAGCAGCTGTACAAAAACCTACTGTACTCATCTTTACTGTGCGGCTAGATCCTGAGAAAGACTTCTTTATAACTTAATTTGTTGTTAATTAAATCAGGAAATCTGGCCCTGGGAAAGATCATTAACCAGCAACAATAAATAAAAATGTCTTAATGTATTAATCACTTCATTACAAAACAGCAATTCAATCTGTTGGACTCATTGTCCAGGTTTGAATAAAATAAATACTACATGTTCACATTTCAGCCAAATTAATTAAAGTTATTTGGCATTAAAAGACAGTAGCAATAATATTGCAGTTTCTATTTACAAACACTAGAGGGCAGCCAGGGTCAAGTTTGTCTCTCATCTGTCGGAGACTCAGACACTCAAAGCCTGGACTGAATTTGACTTTTATCCTCACATCACAACACTAATAGAACATTTTAAATGCAGATCAGCAGTGACTGCAGCTTCATGTGTTCATATAGTTGTAGTTCACCATTTTATATAGATTTCAGAACAGCTGGAAGACTGAAGGAGCTGTTTGCGTGTGAGACTTTGGGATGAAAACTGAATAAATAAAGGTTTCTGAAAAAAGACAAACTCATTTCCTGGGCTCTTAGAGGAAAGTCTGTCAGACTATACAGGTGCATCTCAAAAAAAAAAAACTTTTCAAAACAGGTTTCAAATCCAAATTAAATTCTTGTAAAGATATTAATATGTTCTTTAAATAAAAAAAAAAAAAAACACTCTCATTGTCTTCTTGACTGAACAGACTAGACTGTTCAAAGGACTGGAGTGGATTGCTTTTATCAGCAGTGGTGATGGCAACAGCATATACTACTCTCAGTCAGTTCAAGGCCGGTTTACTACCTCCAGAGATAACAGCAGACAGCAGGTGTATCTGCAGATGAACAGTCTGAAGACTGAACCATTAAACCTAAGCATGTTATTTGGTTAGCTCAGTTGGTAAGGTGCAGGACTTGCAACCCAATGGTTGAGTTTTTGCTGTCATGACTGAACTATTTCAGCACTGCTATCAAAGCCCCATAATCTGGCAGCGGGCCAGATATTATTGCTGCTGCTCCATAATCACAGAGAAAATGAATCCGTTTCCCTTGTCAGAGTTTGTATAAACTTCATCTAATGTGCGGTTTACAATGAACTGTGGTGCAGAAACAGTGATGTTTCACACTCTTTCCTTACATTTTCCATGTTATCTGTCAGTGGCCAAGTCACAATAACATATGGTTTTACTGAATAATGAGTAAATTTTATTTCCTAATAAACATAGAAACATCATTTCTTGACTGGGTACTCTCTGCGGTCTCTGAAGAGACACCTTTTGAGCTAGATGTCACTAAATCTTACAGTGAACCTTTAAAAAGGGAAACAGGGATAATTAAAAATATAATGCCATTATCAGTAGCTTGGTTTTTAGCTTGATTTACTTTTTTGGCAATGCACATTTATTTTTTCTATATTTACATTTTTTACAACAGTTTTAACAAATGCTTTCAAAAAGTGATGGGGACAAAATCAGCTATTTAAAAAAAGTGGTGGGGACATGTCCCTAGCGTGCCCAGTTCAAATGACACCTAGGAGACACATCACTAATGAGCAGTTACAGGCTCATATCAGATCTCCAATTTTTAAGAAAAATCATTGAAAAAGCTGTTTTTCAACAGCTAAGCACTAAGCTGTTTTGGCACTAAATGATGTTTATTTATCTTCCAGTCAGGTTTGCAACCACACCACAGCACCGAGACGCTCTCGTTAAGGTCACATCTGACAGTGGCAGAATTTCAGTCTTAGTATTATTGGATCTCAATGCTGCATATGACACGGTCGGCCACAACATATTACTTGACAGACTTGTGGGTGGGACTTTCTGGCATAGTCCTAAACTGGTTTGAATCCTACTTAAAGGGCAAGGACTACTTTGTGTCTATAGGTAATCATACATCTGAGCTTACAAAAATCACCTGTGGAGTTCCAAGGCTCCATTCTGGGCTCAGATTATGCAAAACAATAAAATTGTCACGCCTTTGTGGTGAAGGCAGGGTTGAGCAGGTTGGAGGACCCAAATGCAGGACTCAGAGCCAGCAGGTAGTGATTTATTTAAACAACTAAAGGCAAGCACACTTACCGGTTGAGTGGCTGATACAGAGTCCAAAACAGAGGTTGTCCAAACCAAAATCCAAATGGTGCAAGGAAACAGGGCAACGTGACAAAAGGGCAGACAACAAGCAATCACACAGCAACTCAGAGAGACAGCATACAATGACCCAACAAAGACAAGACAGAAACACCAGGTATACACACAGACTAACGAGCAGGGCAGGAGCAACACAGGTGACAGACATGAGGCTATCGAGGCACATGTAGGCAGAGAGAGCGGGGGAAACAGACAGACATGCAGAGGGATCACTGGGGTAACAGACAGACAAGACAGAACCCCAAAACCCAACAGACCAAAACAACAAATAATAAAACTGACTAAAAGTACAAAACATGACATGGCAGACAGGATTGTGACAAAAAATAAAATATGTTACCATAATTACGCAGATGGGGTGGTGATGGAGCAATGGAGAAGACACAAGCCTTTGGTGCGAGAGAACCGGGTTCAATCCACCACTGTGACACATCCTCCAACGTGTCCCTGAGCAAGACACTTAGCCTCTCGTTGCCCCAGAAGCATGCATCCTCTAACATATACAGCAATTGCTTTGGATAAAAGTGTCAGCTAAATGAGCAAATTAGTAAGTAGTAATGACACACAGATATATTTACATAACCATATCACCAGGTGACTATGATCCCATTCAAGCGCTGAGTAACTGTATTGAACAAATTAACAATTGTGGGCTAAATTTTCTTAAATTAAACAAAGATAAAACTGAAGTTATTGTTTTTGGAGCCAAGGAAAAACGATTTAAAGTCGCTGCTCAACTTCAATCGGTAATGTTAAGAACCACAAACCAAGCCAGAAATCTTGGTGTAGTCATGGACAATTACAAAGTCAGCCTACCATCACCTGAAGAATATATCAAGGATTAAAGGACGTCTCAGCAAGACCTGGAAAAACTTGTTCATGCATTTATCTTCACTACTGTAACGGTGTCTTTACAGGACTCCCTAAAAAAATCGATCAGACAGCTGCAGCTGATTCAGAACGCTGCTGCTCGAGTCCTCACTAAGACCAAAAAAGTGAATCACATCACTCCAGTTCTGAGGTCTTTACACTGGCTTCCTGTATGTCAAATAATTGATTTCAAAATGCTGCTGTTTGTGAATGTTTTAGGGCCAAAATACATTTCTGATCTTCTGCTTCGTTACGAACCATCCAGACCTCTCAGGTCGTCTAGGATGTCTGCTTTCTGTCCCCAGAGTCAAAACTAAACATGGAGCAGCAGTGTTCAGTTTTTATGCTCCATATATCTGGAACAAACTCCCAGAAAACTGCAGGTCTGCTGAAACTCTCAGTTCTTTTAAATCAAGACTGAAGACTTTTCTTTTTACCACTGCCTTTAATTAAATCAAATTTAAGGCTGTAGATTAATATTTTACACTGCACTGTGACTTTTACACAGTGACTGTCCTGTTTTACCCTGTTTTTATTTTATATTTAACTCTAAAATTTATTTTATAATGTTTTTATTTTCTATTTCACCCATTTAAAAATTACATTTTAATGTGTTTATTTCAATTTCCCTATGTTGCTTTTATGTTTAATGTAAAGCACTTTAAATTGCCTTGTTGATGAAGTATGCTATAGGGGCAGCGTGGTGGTGCAGTGGTTAGCACTGTCGCCTCACAGCAAGAAAGTTGTGGGTTTGAACCCCGGTTGACCCGGCCTTTCTGTGTGGAGTTTACATGTTCTCCCCGGCTTCCTCCCACCATCCAAAGACATGCAGGCTAGGTAAACTGGGGTCTCTAAAATTGGCCTTAGGTGTGAATGTGAGTGGCTGTTTGATGGACTGGCCACCTGTCCAGGGTGTACTGCGCCTGTCAGCTGGGATTGGCTCCAGCCCCCCGCGACCCTGTACGCAGAATAAGCGGTTGACAATGGATGAAATGTGCTATACAAATAATTTTGCCTTGCTTCTGTTCCTCTGATACTGCTGCTGGCAATTGGATCCTGTGTGGTGCTTTCAGTGGTTTCACCTTAGAAACAGGACAGACTCTGCAGCCTGAGGACGCAGTTGTGTACTTTATATGGACAAAAGTATTGAGACACCTACACATTACTTTTATGACATCCAATTCTAATCCATAGACCTTAAAATGGGGTGAGTCCCCACTTTGCATCTATAATAGCTTCCACTCCTCTGGGAAGGCTTAGTCTGTTGGATTTTTGCCCATTCATTAAGAAGAGCATTTGTGAGATCAGACACTGGATAAGAAGGCCTGGCTGGCAATCTCTGTTCTTCTTCATCCCAAGGGTGTTTGAGAGGCTTGAGGTCAGGGCTTTGTGCAGCCAGTCAAGTTCTTTCACAGATTAAGATTTCCTTTTACAAAGACCACACTATGAAAAAATCTTCCCAAAATCTCTTAAAATGTTTGAACAAATTAACTGAAAATAAAAATTCCATTTTGTTAAGCCTCCAAACTGCATGAGTAAAAAGATTGTCACTGTACAATATGGAAGTTTTGATCTCTGCACTTAGTCAAGAAATGAGTTGTCAGGAATTTGATATTTTTGTTTCCTCTGCTGCTGTAGACATTCTCTACTTATGGAAATGCGTCTGTGTCACATGTTCCCTTTTTAAGCCTGTAGAGGGAGGTCTATGCAAACTCTTCCTCTCTTATAAACACACCATCAGCAACTTGTGGCAGAACACTGGGACAGTTTTATATATTTCTGAAACACTCAGATCAGAGAGCTGAACTACAGTGTTTATCACAGAATGAGAAATACAATTATCTGGAGTTTATTATTTGTAGTTACTATTCATGGTGAGAAATCATTTCTGCTTTACTTCTTTTGTAAATGTCCAACCTGTGATTTACAAGTTTGTTGGATAATGATCAACAGAAATCTTTGCTTACAGGAGTTTGGAGTGAGATCAAACTGGACCAGTCTCCCTCTGAGGTGAAAAGACCTGGAGAGACAGTGAAGATGTCATGTGTCATATCTGGGTTTGACATGACAAGCTACTATATTCACTGGGTACGACAGAGGCCAGGGAAAGCTCTGGAGTGGATTGGGAGGATGGATGCAGGTTCAAACTCTGCTAGCTATGCCAGCTCCTTTCAAAACCGTTTCATCATGACTGAAAATGTGCCCAGCAGCACTCAGTACCTCGAGGTCAAGAGCCTGACAGCAGAAGATTCTGCTGTTTACTTCTGTGCTCGACAAAGCACAGTGACTGAAGACAGTGGAGCAGCTGCACAAAAACCTCCACAGACAACAAATGTGATCTTAATGACATCTATGCTTTCTCATCATAATTTTATTTACAAAGTCCTTTGATTTTATGTAATTTAGAGATATATATATATTTATTCAGTCATATTAATGTGTTTTTCATTGTCTTAATGTTGTTAGTCAACTCAGTAGAAAACAGTCAAAAGTCATCTGTGACCAATTGGCTTTGAATATTTACAAGTAGATCAACAAGAAAATGGTTTGAATATGTATTAAAAATGAGAAGGCAGTCTTGGATGAAGAATTTGTTCATTTTTTTGGTTCTGACTTTCAGAAAGACGTCTTGCCGTTGCATCTGCAGTCAATTAATTTATCGATTACCAAACTAGGCCAAACACTGCTGCAGCAGATCAGTCAGTGGGACAGTCAGTATTAACCAACTGGGGAAATATAGATGGGTCTTTTTAATTAGGAGGTTTGTTGCAGTGCGGGTACAATGCAGTGCAGTGCAGTGTAAGATTAGGCTTTCCACCTTGATCTCCACCAATCAATAACACCATCACAAAAATAGGATCCAATACAGGTCTATTATCTCATATTGCATTATCTTGTTTTTATTATTTGTGGTTGTTGCCCTTTCACAGTGAAATCTGTCCAAATATAATATAACTACATCCTTTTTTCTGTCTCTTTTCTCCTCCAGGAGACCAGACTGCTAAAACTACAGTAGACTCCAGGGCTGGATTGGTAATCTGGCATACCGGGCAAATGCCCAGTAGGCTGGCGGACCTTTGGGGCTGGTGTAACATAAATTATTTATTTATATAACTGTTTTTAAAAAATGAGCCAACGATCAGCCCATAAAGCATGTACAGCGGCCCATTGGGTAATTTTTTATACTGACATTGACCTGGTCCAATCACCTCTCTTACTAGGCCCCACCACCTCTGCTCTCTGTTTCTTGCGTTACGGGCCACAAAAAAAAACAAACAAAAAAAAAAAACATTCTTCAGACAACCTATATGTTTCCGATAAGTTTGCTAAACTCAGCTGCAGTACCCTGCGTAGTAAAAGAGCTGTGGTGGCCGCTGCCAGGCAGAAGAGGAGACGTGTGATAGTGAAACAGAGTGACAAAGTGACCATGATGGGCCGAGTGAGAAAAAGAGCTGGGGGAGAGTGGAGGTGAAGCGATAAGCATGGAGTAGCTCAGCCTGTAGGGAGGGGGCAGGGAGGGAGGATCATTTACACTAGGGATGCTGGGGGTATGTAGCCACCACTTTTTGAAAGCATTTGTTAAGCAAAAAATAATAAGCTACTGATTACTGCATTATATTTTTACATTGTGAATTGTCACCTGCCATCTGAATTCTCTCCAGCAGGAAATTAAGTGTTTAATGCTCAAAATCTTCTGGGGAAGGACCCCTTGACCTCCCTATTCAAGATTTCAGTTATAAATATTTTTTTAAATAGTAGGTCTATTAAAATATAATTATGTCTTGTAGTCATGGACACCAATCTTGTGCAATGTCTCGTCTTAGTTTCATCACACCCCTAATCTGACCCCCTGAATGGAACGATGAGAGTTGTCCGACCAGTTTTGGTGGGCCGCCTCGGCCAAAAATGCCAGGGCCGATTTTTTGTCCCAGTCCAGCCCTGGTAGACTCAATAGTTAATATGTCGTCTCAATCTATTGACCAACTGGCTACAGAGTGGTGATATCCTACGGACAGAGAGGTGGCTACATCAGAGCCACAGTATCACATTTTAAAATGAATTTAACTCAAAAGTGAAGTAGTACTGATCACTCAATGTGGGGTATAAATTTTTTCCACGAAAAAATAATTTCAGCAGAGGCAGGGATATGTAAACCTGAAAGGGGGAAATCCCCACC